AAATAGAGCTACATGACCAACTAAGAATTGCAACCCAAATCTCAGTTCTTCTTTCCTTCTTTAAAACCAAAAGATTTCCACTTAAAATCTGGTACCCAGAGTACTATACGCTTTGCTATAACTTAATGGCTTATGGGAGAAGATTCCTCACTCCAAGTACAATTTGAGGAAGAAAACAGGAAAGTTGTATGGCAATGTTCTTTCATTAAGTCACAAACTCATCTACCTCGGGCCGCCTCTTAGCTTTTGCGTCTCCTGTTTGTACAATCATTCCATTGTAATTGTGTTCTCATCCTGAAATATGCTCCACAGTTCATCGATTTGCACAAGAATTCTACTCGTTCATTGGTGTATATGCCATTTATTCGGACTTTCAATCCCACAGATGGATATTTCTTTTTGGTCTAATTAATGGCTTATATACTCAGAAGTATCTAAGAGTTACTTACATTTTGGTAGTACGACTAAATTTGTAAGTGTTAAGAGTTGACTGAAGGTTCTAAGTCACTGACTCTTTAAAAAACACACCAGTAAAAAGATAAGTTTTTGAAAGTGATGACTTTTGTTAAGAGTCTGAAGGAAGTGCCCTAGTGGGACAGGGAAGTGGAATGTAGACGGAAAGGGTGTCAAGCAGAGGCAAAGACATCAAGCAAAATTCTGCAAAACTGGGGTCACAGCTAGAGTTGTCCATTTACGGGCAGGATCACTGGAGAACTGCACACATGTCCCTGAGAACAGGAGGTATGTCCGGGGTTTCCTGCTCTCTGTGAGGGCGATGCTAGGTCAGCAGCCGCCCCACCAGGAGTAAACTGTATGTTGTTGTTCTTATGGCTGTTTCTTCCCACTCAAGGCTGCTCATTGCTCTAGAGACGAATGAAAGTGACAAGAGATCTTGACGGGCAGAAGAGAATTCCCTAACACATTCCCCAATGTTGTCATTCTCTACAAAAGCAGACTGCTACCTCTTAACTCCTAAAGAGGGACTGCTGGGTTCAAACCACTAACCTTTCCATTAGCTGAGTACTTTAACCAATGTGTTCCATCTTATGAACACTGATTTAAAACCACACTGAGATGTTAGTCGAAAAAGAAGGGGGAGGAGGGAAGTCACTAGAATAGAAGTTAGAGGGTGAGGTGATGGTGAAGGATAGGAAAGATTTAATAGAGGCTTGACAAGAAGGGTGATAATAGTAGTCATGAATGACATAAAATATAGTATATATGAATGTATAAAACACAATGTACTTGAATGAAACACAGTGTATATGAGGTATTGTATGCAAACTGATTTTAAAAAAATCGAAAGAAAAACGGAGGATTAGTTTGATCTGTTACATTACATTGATTAGAAAAGCCGATCTACACAGAGTCCCTTTTTACTCATCTATGGTAAGACATATGTTCTGTACGTCTTCATGGTTATTACAAAGTACATTTTCTTTAGAGAAGTGGACATAGTCAGGATCAATATATATTTGTATTTCAAAATCATTCGAAATGTATCTCTGTGATACAGACTGTTGGAAAAACGACACCAGCAGACATACATGTTCAACATAGAGATCTCAGAAACCTTTAATTTGAAAAAGCGTGCTATCTGCAAAGAACAATAAAACACAATAGGAGATATGCATGTAATGCCTTTTTATTAAGCACATAGCTTCAGAGACAAAGAAACGTGGATTTAGAGCAGAGATATACCACCTGTAGTTATGTTAAAAATAAAATTAAATTTTAAGTAAGAAATTGATATATGTATGCAATACTAGGTAAATAGTTTGTGTTCCAATATAGGCAGTTGTTGTGTTGATATTTCAGTTTAATTACTAATGCAATAAACATGTAATCAACTGACTGAGATAAGTAGTTATCTATATAAAAAGAACTATTAACATATGTTCATATAATTAAAATTTAAAATTATTGTATAAGGAAGGTAAGATAGTTGATCTCTACAGGGGAAAATGGTAATCAATTATCTTTCCCATCCTTATAACATTTTAATTATGTGAAAACATGTTAATTGTTCTTTTTATATAGATAAGTACATTTGTCTGTTTATTAAATGTTTATTTCATTAACAATTAAACTGAAATATTACACAACAATTGCCTAATTTTTACCACAAACTATGATCTCTGGAAAAAGACTGGTGAGACATTTCACCAAAAACAACATTCCCATGACAAACAAACGCATGAAGAAATGTTCAAAATGCGTAGCTATCAGAGAGATGCAAATCAAAGCAACTATGAGATACTATCTCATCCCAGCAACAATAGCAAAATTCAGCAGAGCAGCAAATAAAAGATGCTGCCGAGGTTGTGGAGAGACTGGAATTCTTATTCATTGTTGGTGGGAGTATAAAATGGTTCAAGCACTATGGAAAGCAGTTTGGTACTTTCTCAAAAAGTTGGAAACAGAAATATAATTTGATCCAGCAATTGTACTTCTGGGAATATTCCCTAAAGAAACCATAACCACCATCCAAACAGTTGTATGCACACCGATATTAATTGATGTGTCATTCAGAATAGCAAAGAGATGGAAGCAACCCAAATGTCCATCAACAAACAAATGGATAGAAAAAACCCCTATGATATATTCACACAATGGAATACTATGCAGCACTGAAAATAATTAACTCACCAAGTATCACACAATTTTGGTGACCCTGGAGGACATAATGCTGAATGAAATGTCTCAGTCAAAAAAAAAGGACAAATATTGCATAATACCACTGTTTTGAAGGAGAAGAGACATGGGGAATTGGGAGGAGAAAAGGATAAGAGTTGATAGATAATAAACACTGTATTGGAACAGATGAGAGAAAGAACCGTTTAAAAGGAATATATGATTAGGCATTATATGTAAGATAAAGTCCAGAATAAGAGGTAGCAAGGAGGACTGGGGCGTGGGGGGTGGGGGAGGAAGAAAATTATACAGAAATGAATGGATAGTTTAAAAAATTTAAAATGTAAGTGAACTGAGGGGGAAAACGTGGGGGAAGGAGGAAAACGGGAAATAATTAATGAGTGAAAATCTAACTTTTCTGTAAACTTTCATTAAAATCACAAAGTGAAAAGTTTTTTCAAAAAGAAAAAATGGTGAAATAAAACAAGTATCAGAACATCTTTTTATTCTCCTTTTAAATGAATTTTCTTAGAAAAAATTTCAGTACAGAAGTAATACATTCTCATTTTAAGAAAAAAGCATGCATAATAACTAGAGACGAAAATAAAAATCATTCATATATTGCATATATTCAAAAACTAAATTTATCAGAATCTGTGAACTGTGTGAATGAATTTCGTTTTGTAATTTATTTTTTAATCATCAGTATTACATCAAGTGAATGTATAAGGAAACTAGTTTTCTATGATTAACTTTTTGCCACAAAGATGTCATTTTGCTACAATGTCAAGTTACATTTCTGAGACATGGCAGAATTAAATTAAATTATGGGACAAACAAAATTTGTGAAAATAAACATTGTATTTTGTGTTTAACAAAATTCAAGTTATGACTGCAATTATACGCTAAGCCTGAGAAAACAGATGCATCAACAAATTATTTTGGAGTCTGTTTACAGGAAAAAAAAAGTGCATAAGCAAATGATATGGCTTCCCCCTATTTTATCTTTATTATGTACAAGAGAATCATCAATTTGGGGTGATTGTCTTTTCCCTTGAGCTTTCTCAAACTTTAGTTCAGCATGCTGCCTCATTTAAAGTCCCTACTGAATCATCAGGGAGCTCTGATGGGCTCTAGGGAAGGAGTCGCTCTGCCAACCCAAAGTTTGAATCCACCAGCTGCTCCACAGGAAAAAAAAAGATGGGTAATCTCTCATGTGATTTACTGTCTCTCAAAACCCGCTGGGGGTCAGCTATGGGTTTTTAGGACTCAATAATAACTAATTTATTAACTACAGCAATTATAGTAGCACCAGCAATTACAGTAGCACCAGAACTTTCTTCCCTAGTGGCTGTTCACATTCTATAGAATCTTACTCAGTAACTGTCCTGTATGTGATTAGTCAGTTCTCTCACATGGCTTTTATTGACTGGAAGAACTCTGGCATCAATTTCAAATTCTACAGTTTACTTTTACAGATAGATTTACTAATATAATTGTTATTCATTCAAAACAGAAATAGTTGGAATATCAGACAATCTGTAAATGAAAAAATATGACAGGAAAGGAGAAATACTGAGAGTTAGACAGGGGATTATGTTTATAAGTGATCAATTTATGTATAGTTTCCTGTTATAACTTTATTTATTCCCTTCAATTCCTTACAGACATGATGTTTATACCATGACTTTCTAAATTCACCTATTATTATTAGATGTTTACATTCACATAACACAAAATATGGGAGTTTGTTTGTTTTGTATTTTAAAAGGTACTGTGGCTCCCATATATCATTATAGTTTCAATTTATATTCCTCTTGATATTCCTTCTCACTTATGGCATATGTGTTCAATGACATGGTAACATCAAAATAGTTCCACCAGTGTCTATAATTTTGCTTTATAACTTAGAGTCAATGTAAACGCTGGGTAAGTGTCATAGTGGGTTCTCATAGAGAACTTCCTGACTGCCTTGTTTAAAGTAGTTAGATAATATTTTTATTTCTTCACCCCATTCCCTTTAGCTCAGTTATTGCAAATTATTATCTCAGATACTTTTAAATTGGGTTTCTATACATTTCTCAATTAGTCTGTAAGCTCCATGAGGGCAAGGAATGTGTCTATTTAATTCAACAAGATTAATCTCCAATTTAGCATCATGACTTCTATGTGAAAAGCACTTGGTAAAGTGCAAAATTAATGACTGGATGGATGAGTGGTGAATGACTGCAAAATCTGAAAACTAGTCATAACATAATTATAGATTTATTTTTATTCCTTGAAAATTCTGTTTTCGGATGCTCTAATATTATCGTGCTGTCATAAAGACTAAGCCATCTCTGTTCTAATGAGGTGTAACTGTTTAGTCCAGTCCCTGATATTAGTTGGAGGAGGCTGGATGGAAGTCTGTTGCCAGGGAAAGTCAAGTTCAGCAAATCCAAAGCTATCCTTGAAATCCCGAACTTTCAACAGGAAGACGAAGGCTCCTACGGCTGTACCGCAGGCAACCTCCGCGGGAGAAACTTTGCCAAGGGCCAACTCATCTTCTATGGTGAGCTGAGTTGCAGAAAAGCGCATGAAATATCTGACAATATACTTATAACAAATAATGAAAGTCATTAGTATGTCATGGGGAAAATGGCATAGAAAAATAAGAAAGGTGCAATTCCAGCTCGGGACACTTAATGGAATGCGTAGCAGGCAGGAATGACTAGCCTTAAACTGTGGTTTTTATTTCAGCACAGTCTTTGCAAGCTTGTTTATAATAATTATTTTGAAAGGATCAGCAGTGTCATGTAAAAGCAATAAAAGCGTGTAACACACGGTGGCGTAGAATCCAATATATTTCCTATAAAACATTCAGTACAGCCCATGGCAATCTTAATTATGAGGATAATTTCTAAATAGAAGAGAAAAATGATAGAAAAGGGTAATACTGGAATAGTAATTTGGAGCATTTCTTTAAAGGTCTCAGGGTTTTTGACCATGTGTATACAGTATTCAAGGCCACCATTTTTTATAACTATGTTAGTCTCAGTTATTGGAACACTTAAAGAATGTAAGGGAGTGGAAGAAAAGAGTTATTCCCTAAATATTGTCTTTGTCTTCTTTCAAACAGGTTGAAATGCACACTTGGCTCTCAATTTTCATTTCAATGTCCCTTAGAATTATAAATAAAAAATGCTGCCTTAAAAAAACTAAACCCAATCAAAAACTCCCTTTTTGAATTAAATATTTCTGCCATAGAAAACTTTGTCAAGTACTGTTCATACATGGGAAGGAAGACTTTTCTATATGATAGCTTTGTATGTGAGATATTTATTAACAATAGTTAAATGATTACAGGACACAGTATAGATTAAGAAAGCACATGTGACACGGTGGTCGCCTCAGAGGGATGCGGGTGGCTCTACAGGGTGACACTGTGCTTGGCCATTTTGTTTTCCATTTCCTTCAGAATTTCCATTTTTAGTGTAGAATGGAAACTAGTATTTTATAAACAGGCTGTGATTCTTTAGCTATTATTTCCCTATTGTTTTAGTAACATGAAACAAATTTTTAAAAATCCCTTAAATAGTTCCATAATAAAAATTTTGGCACAGCTATAACCAGAGATTAATCAATAAGTTTGAAACAATAATCAGGTATTCTTTCCCCACAAGGATACAGCCATTGCCGGCTTACATAAAAGATTTTATAATCATTCACTTAATTGAATTCCTTCAATAATCATAAAGTAGATTTTTTTCCCTTAAAATTATACTATGATCTCACATACAATAATTGTCATATCTTAAATATGAACTTTGGAAAGCCATAGTTTTTCAACATAAAAGGCGAATTTTATTAGCAGTACATAGTACTTTTCACTACAACTTAATTAGCCATGTAACAGGTTCAATTTTTCCTTGTTTAGAAGGACTGAGCAACTGCTCAATACATAATTGTTGTGTTATGCTTCTTAGTCATATAAATTATCCATTGATTTATCTCCTCCCCAAAACAAATAATTGCCACAGATAAGATAGAAATAAAAAAATACATGAAAAATTTTGAGAATGTCTTCTCACAACTCTATTTTGTAGCTTTTTAAAATTATAATTCAAAACCAAGTCACATTGGTTTTTCAGCTATATTAAGTTTTTATAGTCCCCAGAAAAAAATTGCTTGATTATATTGTTAGTTGTCATTGAGACAACTCTGAATAATTGTGATGTATAAGAGAACACAATTTTTTTATTATTATTATTACTGCTGCTACTACTACTACAGAAGACGGAACATATGCAGAGAACCTATGTGAGTTCCACCAGTCAATCAATGGGGAACACGCAGCCCCCGCAGTCACATGTCTCTCCCTCCGATTCTATGGTGTATCTCCTACATGGCTGATGCTTTCAAAGGTTGCTATCCTAATCATCATGATTGGGTGTACATTAAATAAATGAAAGAATTTGAAAGTTCCACCTAGCAAATATGATCTATCTTAAACCAACACTTAAATCTATACATAAGGACATTTTCTTTACAATACCCAGGAACATGATTCAATTTTATAAACACATCTGTTCCTTCTAAGCCCAGTCTCCACTCGCCTTTCCAGGCTGTGGTGAGCGTGTTTTGGGGCTGATCCCCACAAAAGATAATTTAGTCCTCATTCTCATCAAGATCTTCTGTTTAGTGGCGTCAGAGGCTGCACAAACAAAAATATCTCAAAGAATAGAGAAATTTGAGTTTTATGTTGTAAATAAATTGACATTATTTCGATATCGCTTTAATACTCCAAGAACTGCAATAGCGTTGGCACTTAGCTTTGCAGGCACATTCTGAGGGAGTCTTAGCTCAAGTGCACAGAGCACATCCATCCACACTGCAGCACACATGTCTCAGAACCACTGAGCTAGACTCTGGTGTTGAAAGGGTCCTAGCTCAAAGCAGACACAGCCTGGAGGGGCAAGCTGGTACCTTCTGAACTCTTCGAGTCATCAGTAGTGAATAAATACTTCTGTTTTCCTCAACGGAATAGACAGCTGATAAGGACTCCTTGGTGAGTCACTGAGAACCGAAGTCACAGGGACCCATAGTGGTGGCCAAGACAACAAAACATCCTTTTCAATGCCTCTCTTTCTTTTTCTGATAACTACCTTTTCTTGACACCTTCCTTTTGGAATACAAAAGAGAAAAACAACAACAAACTAACAGCAAGAAGAACCCAGGAGATCAAACTCCTAGCCACTGAGCTGGTCCATGGCAGGCCTGCAGGACAGCATACAATTGCTCCGTTTGGTTCCATGCTTATAATCTTCAGAGAAGCAGATAGACGTGTGTTCCTCCATGACACAGCTGATGAGATCAAACTGCCAGCTTTGCAACTGACACTCAATGTTTTAACTACTGTGCCACGAGCAGTTCGTTTCAGAATGTTGTTGTTAGGTGCCTTCAAGTTGAGTATGACTCATAGTGATCCTATGAACAGCCTCCCTGAACCCTGCTGTATGTCACAGGGTCAATCCATCTCTCTAGGGCTCTTCCCCTCCTTCCCTGACTCTCTACTTTTCCAAGTACAATGTCCTTTCCAAGGAATAACCTCACCTAGCTACATATCCTAAGTATCAAAATTAAGCTTTGCCCTCTTTGCCTCCAAGGAGTACTCGGGCTGCACCTTTTCCCCAGACAAGTCGGCTGGTTCTTTTGGCCGTCCATGGGGTATTCAGTGCCACTTAAATACGGTCTTTGACCTAAACTCTGCTTTCAAGATTCTCATTTTGCCTTTTTGGTTTCGCAACTATATTGTCATAAGCAGAGCACTTAACATCCCTTGAAATGTACGCTACAAAGATCGGTACAGAGAATTAAGTGCAATTAAACATTTAAGAAAATCTAACCTGTAATATCCTAATATCCCAAAAGAATACTCCTCTACTTCTATAAAAGGGAAAGATCTAAATAGAGATGCAATAATGGGCATATCCTGACAATTTCCAACTGTATTTATGGAAGAATGCAATTTTAAAACATTTCATTCGTAGCTCACCAGTTTCCACAAAGGATAATAAGGATAATACCATGTTTCACTGAAATATCATTTTGGCATTAGTTTATGCTATATATTTTACTTGGATTCACTACACAAGTGTGTAGAAATTTGTCAGATTACCAAAAAAAAAAAAGGGTTTTGGAAACTCATATTCAAATTATAGTTATTATACTACATAAAACAATATAAAATTATAATTCCCTGTTGAGAGTTTTAGCTAGGGAAAATATTTAACTGATTTATTATTATTATATCAAAAGCTGATGAAAATCCTATTTTATGTTTCAAGCTGTTGTGCTGGAATCACGTCCAATATAAATTACACTTACTTATCACTCGTTTAGACCAATATAATCAGTGTATTTTGTTCACAGAAGGTTTGGATTTCGAATCTGTTTTCAAACTATTTACTAATATGTAGTGTTGGACTATTCTCTGGCCTTATTTGCATTTTTACCTCTTCCACAATGTCCCTGGTGTTATAACTGCAGTAAACATTAACTTGAGCCAAAGGCCCACTAAAATTTGCAACAAGATTTTTTTTTTGTCTCAACTTGAAGTTTCTGCATTTCCCCTTCCTCACATCACAGGTATGCAGTGCATTTGGCCCCAGTCAGCTGTTTTAGCCTTCTGACATCCAGGCCTGCTGGATTAAGGAATGATGCCAACTGATTTTCTTGCTTCTTTTGAAACAGCCCCTCCAGAATGGGAACTAAAAATTCAAAATAAGTACTTGTCCATATATGACAACTTATTCTGGGAATGCAAAGCACGTGGCAAACCAAACCCTTACTACACCTGGTTAAAGAACGGGGAGCACCTCAGTGCAGAGGTAAACCTCAGTTAATATGAAAATTCGCTGAGTCGGCTAGGGGAACTTTGTTATAGGCAATATGAACTAATGTCTGTGCTGTGTTTGGTGGATGCCTCGAAATCTAGGGTACTCTATAGAGATGATTTATCTATGTATTTAAGAAGTTAACTAAATTATTGTTAATAATGCTATATTTTTAAATGAGAAAAGTGAGGGTGTAAAATAACTTTAGAAAGTTGATCCATATCCAAATGTCCCCATCAGTGTCATTATCACATTATCCAAATAGCCAAGACTACCTGATTATCATCTATTACTCATGGTATCATAACAGGAAACATTTACTGAACATTTACTAAACCACGGATTATATTAAATATTTCCCCCATATTGACCTTCTCTTGCTCTAATCACAACCTTACAACAAACAGTACTTTTATCCCTTTATGTGGATAAAGAGCCGTAGAAAGTTTCATTCTCCTCCCAAAGCTCACACAACAGCCAGTAACTGTTAGCATTAGTCTTCCGGGCTCCAAAATCCAACCTCTCAATCATTACATACTTAAACATTACATATTTGGACTTCAGAGCAGTGAGATGCTTATAGGAAATCCTGAGTGTCTGTAAACCTAAAGGGAAGTGGAGAACTGAAGGAATTACTCATATTTGAATGTTGTTGTTGTTGCTGTTGTTATGTGCCATCGAGTCCTTGCAACTCATAACGACACTATGTACAACAGCCCTAAAACCTGCTCTATCCTGTGCCAATTGCACTGTCTCTGACAGATACTCCCATCCCAATTACCCCAGTTACTGAATCAATCCACCTCATAGAGGACCTTCCCCTCCTGCACTGTCCCTCCACCCTCCCAAGCATGACGTCCCTCTCCAAGGACCTGTCCCTCCTTACAACATGTCCAAAGTATGTTAGACAAAGCCTCAGAATCCTTGCCTCCAAGGAGCCGCCTGGTTTAACCCTCTGCAGGATAAATCTGTTTGTTTTTTTAGCAGTCCATGGTATTCTCAATATTCTTCTCCAGCACCACAGCTCAAAGGCATCAATTCTCCTTCCATCCTCCCTAGTCATTGTCCAATTCTCTGATGCATAACAAGTGATTGCAAAGACCAGGTCTGTATCAGACGCACCTTAGTCTCCAGAGAGACACCATTGCTCTTCAGAACTTTGGAGAGGTCCCTAACAGCAGACTTTCCCATCACAATACATCTTTTAATTTCCTGGCTACTGGTGCCAAGAGTGTTGACTGTGGAGCCAAGCAAACTAAAGTTGTGAATAATCTCAATCTTTTCACCATCCATCCTGATGCTGCCAATTGATCCCGTGGTGAAAATCTTCATCTTCTTGACATTGAGCCTCAATCCATATTGAAGGCTGTACTCCTTGACCCTCTGCAGGAAGCAAATAGGAAGTGGTTTTTTCCTACAATAACCAAAATAATAAAGCAAAATTGGTTTTCTCTGTCACCTAAATAAGGTGGTTGTGTAAAAGCCATTTTGCTTTGAGCATGTAGGCACAACCAGAGATACAAAGAGCACCTGTTGTTTGGAGGCTGAAACAATGCTGTTCATTCTGCCCGTCGCCTTAGCATACCGTTATCTTTCTCCTACTTTCACTAACGTAAGAAGATAATAATAGGTGGCTTGAAATATCGAGCACTAAGTTCTGTTTTCCCTATGAAGTGATTTTTGTTATGTGTATCAGTACTGTATTTTTCTGCCCCTCATGAGACAGCATAACAAATTTTGGCTGTTGAAAAGTATTTCTAAAAGGCTATAATCAGGAAGGATTCATTCTTCCAACTGGTTACTCAATTAGAGAATCATCGAATCGTCAATTTTCATGTCCTTTTGAGATCTTACAGTGGAAAGTGAAGAAAATATTCTAAGCTAATGACATTTATGTTGAACATTATTCAGTCAAGTATGTTTTATGGAATATTTGAAATTTTTTTATATGTTACATAACAGATAAGTAATGAGCATACAATGAAGAGAACCCCAATTTTCAAAGAAATCAAACACTGTAAAGACACTGATCTCTAAATATATTCTCATTAATTTAAGTCCCCAAAGCTGCATAAGTTCTACAGTTCTATATTATATTAGGCTCTCCTTCAGAAGCTTCAATTCTTGTGCACCAAAATGCATAGGTGTCATGCATATACACAAACTATGTTTAAATAAAATAGTCTAATGAAGGTATTGCCATACAGCCTAAACTGAAAAGGTTAAGTTTTTCTTCTAGGTTACCATACTAGCAATTTCGCATGTCTTTTTATAGGAGAGAATTCAAATAGAAAATGGGACCCTGATCATAACAATGCTGAACATGTCAGACTCTGGCATCTACCAGTGTGCTGCTGAAAACAAGTATCAGACCATTTATGCAAACGCGGAATTGCGAGTATTAGGTAAGTAATGGATTGATAATCATATAACTCAACATGGCATTTTAGCAGATTATGATTATATACACTCTGATTTGCTTGGGTTTTGTGTTGTTTGGTTGTTTTTTTTAAAAATTAGGTATTTATCTCCTTTGAAATAATGAGTAATGTCTAAGTTACTTTTCTAAAAATGTGTTAGTTGCTGTCATGTTGACGCTGGTTCATGGGAGCCTCACATGTAACCAAACACAATGATGCTTGGACCAGTTGCTTCATGGTTGTTGGTGTGTATGAGTCCACAATTGGGCTATTTGTGAATTCATCTCACTGCTGCCCTCACTGTTTTCTCTGACCTACAACCAAACCTGATGCTTTGGTTTTTAAATAAATTACTCTTTCCTTATAATGTGACCAAAGTAAGCGAGACAAAGTGTCATCATCCTTTCTTTGAAGACCCTCTATGGGATGAGATGGATTGATTCAGTGACTGGGGTAATTGGGATGGGTGTGTCAGAGGCAGTGCGATTGGCACAGGATAGAGCAGGGTTTAGGGCTGTTGTACATAGGGTCGCTATGAGTCACAAATGACTCAACGGCACATAACAACAACATATCTCTTAAGATTGATTTCCAAGGCGGATTTCTAAGAAAGGCTATTTCTTTGAGAAGGACAACATGCTTAGAAAGGGGGGGATGGTGAAGAAGAAGAAGGCCATCAACCAGCTCATTGACACAGAGATTGCAGCAATGAGTCTGGGTGTGTCTGAGATTGTGAGGATGGCACAGGATGGGATTCAGGTCTGTTGGTCATGGGGTCACTTTGAGCTGTACTTGACTTGGTGGCACCTAACAACAACAACAACTTTAAATTCTTAGTCATATTCTTCTTATTCTGGTTTGATAATCCATTAGAGGAAGACGCTATCATTGAGTGCTTCCGTATTATAAGAGGCTATCAAGAGTTGATGTGAGCAGAAAGTTTTGAACATAAATAAAAAGACAATAGGAATGACTTTAGGCATTAAACTAAACCACATCAGAAAAGAAAAAGATCAATTTACAATGATGTGAAAATAAGGATTTATTCTTCCTTTTAACATGCTCTTCAAAAGTAAAGGCTATGACACTTTTGCTTAACTATGTTACTCTCTGAACTTTTTCTCAGACTATACACTTAGCTTCAGGGTAACTAGATGTCTGAGGTAAGGAGAAACAGAGAGAAAAGAACTGACCATATCATAAGCAAACCCCTAAAATAACTGCATTCCCACAGAAAACATCTTTTCTTTAACATTGGTAAGAACTCATGATCACTCATATTTCAAGGAATGCTGAGAAATTAACTTCTTATGTAGAAAGTTAAAAGAGATAAATTATTTAGAAATATTTTGAGATAGTCAATCAAAGGTATCTACCAGACAAAATCATAATGACTTTGAACTTAAGGCATTATTATGTTAGAAAAAAACAGAACAAAACAAAATGAAATTTGATGACAATGAAGGTTTACCCAAATACAGACGAAATCTGTGAGTTGAAGTCAACTTGATGACAACAACATCATCTAGAATTGAATGATGAATTTCTCTTGTTTTGTTTTTTTTGTTTTGTTTTATTTTTTAGATTATCTTCATTTCCATATTTCTAAGAGTCATTAAAGCTGAGACTTTTTTCCAATTTGCTTGGAAAAATGATCTAATGAGTCAAATTTACTTTAAAAAATATTATAGTGACCGCTGTCAGCAACAGCATAAAAACACACTGACACGTCATAAGTGCACACTTTGTGCTGAATGTGATGCTAATATTTCACAATACTATCTCATTTAATCTCTATACTAATTTGCTGAGTAATGTCCATTTTCATTTTCATCTTACAAATGGAACCAAAATGCTCTACAATTTTAAGTTGGCAACTGGTTCCAGAACTCTTGGACTGATACAGCTTGAAAACTAATTCTGGATACAAAACTAGATGACTTCTAGAGTTATTAAGTAATTACATAAAGAATCTGACACTTTTGTTTTCAATTTTTCTTTTAGCTTCTGCTCCCAATTTCTCCAAAAACCCAATTAAAAAAAAGTCAGTTGTTCAAGTTGGTGGGGATATCACCATCGAATGCAAGCCTAATGCCTCTCCCAGGGCATTGATTACCTGGAAAAGAGGCACTGAGACCCTGAAGCAGAGTAAAAGGTAACTCGATCTTTACATTATTAAAATCTTTTTGAAATATTGCCTAAGATAATATATTTCAGAGCTTAGCGGTTTCTAAAATCTTCCGCCTCAGAAGAAGAAAACTTGAAATGCACATTCATAGCTGTAAAAATGTTTTCAAATAACAATAAAAACAAAAGGATTTTCAAGGCAAAGAATTGCATGTGCAATTTGGCTGCAATATTATCAGTGCACACACTCGTAACAGATATATTTATAAAATCCTTTACCACCTTTTCTAAATTCAGTATGAAGGCTTTTCCCAACCTGGCCTGCTGAGAAATCAGTCAGAGGAACATTACACAATGAGGAGAGACACTCACATGCACACACCTGGTAGGGTGGCTTTTAAATAGTCACACAGGTGTTCACCCCATGACAAAATGAGTTCACCACATGAGAAAAAATGTAGAGAGGTTCCTGTCGAGAAAGAAGAGAGGTTTCCTCCCGTGATGAATTTGATGGAGAAATCCTAGATTTGCACTTGTGCACTTTTCTGGTACAGTTTAGGCAAAATAAAATAGAGGTTTTTCTCAACTATTTTATTCCATTGTTTTGTTGGACCTTACATAAGAGATGATAGGATCAATTTAATAATATGATAAAACACAGCTGTATGCTATGCAGCACGCAGGAGCAATAACTTTGTAAATTATTACCCAGCTTGGGAGGGACTGGAGAGCATTATATTGGGTGAACTAACTCAGTCCCACAAGGATAAATACTGTATAAAACCATTATTGTGGAATGAGTATAAGGATCCAGGAGGGGTGGGAGAGGCTGGAAACAGAGGGATGGGCTGTGCAGGGGGAGGAAGGATTAATCATTTGGTTGTATAATTTGATGGGTGAGGGGGTGGGGGAAATGGAAAGAATTTGTTCAAATTTGTTTTGTCTTTTTATTTTTTTTAAATTTGTATTCTAATTTTGTAAAAAAAAGCTAGTAGAAAAACCCCACAGCTGTATTTTAATAAGTCATGCTTTACTCCGAGATCAGATGCACACTGAGGTTTTCCTATGAACAAGCCATTGTGATAACCATTTGCAAGATGTTCCTTTAGTTCAATGTACACCATGCAGCTATCACATGCATCCTGGACCAAAAAGGTGATGGAGAGGAATGAGCACAAATGAATGAAAGAGCATGAAAACAGATGGGAAAGGACGATCCACCAGGCTCGGCAGAACGTCCTATGAAGGACTGTATCTTGTGTATCATGTCTAAAGAGAGAGTCACAGCTCAGATCACACCCAAATGGTTTTTGTTGGTTGATTATTTTTATAGATATGTTTGGGAAGATAGGCTCCTCTTTTTACTGATCTCTCAATACTACAGGAAATTCTAGAAATCTGGATGTTGGCACTGAATTCTCCAACCACAGGAAATATGTCGTCTGCAGGCTTGGATGCAGAAAGATTGTTTTGTCATTTCTAATTTTAAAAGGACACCTGTAGCCAAGGAAGGGAGAGGAAAAATAATAACAACAACAACAAACAAGAATGTGTGCTGGTGGTGTAAAGTGTTATAATAGTGTATCTGGTGCCTTAATCCCTGGACTTCACAAGCAAGATGAGATATAGAACAGAAAGCCTCTTCCGAGAGACTCTTTCTTTTACTGTCCCCTCCCTGGCCACACTACCTCTCCATTCCTGGACTAAAAATCCCCCTAATGGGGATTCTGTCCTATCTGTCTTTTTATGCCTTATGTCTTGGCAGAGAACCAGAGGTTCACAAATATCTATGGTATGAATGAATGTGTCAAAGGAATGAGTATATAAGGCATTACCAGCTTTAAAGAAAGGCTCTTTCTCAGGACAGATGCTTCAGAGGTAGACTGAAAGGAAGGTGGAAAAGGAAGGTGAAAAGAAGCCTGTCGCTGAGGCCCAGGTGAAGCCCCTCCCTCGGTGGAGTGCATCCAGGAGATTCCCACTAGTCCTCCCAACAGACATGGACGTCGCTTCTTTTAAAAGGCTTCCTCTTTCAGTCCTAAAATCTAATCAAGACTTGAATGCACTGCTTTGAATAAGAAAACTCAAGAGATCCCATAGAACAACATAAAGGGTATCAAAACTGACGGTCTGAACAAATTGATTAGCTCTGCTTCTTTAATAAAGAGACTACCAAGTTTAACTCAAAAGGGTCAGGATGGATGCCTTCGTAAGGCCAAACACAGGAAATGGGAAGGGGGAAAGAGGAGAGAATGTGGAAAGAGACAAGAAAAGACATTTTGAAGGGCATAGTGGGATCTACTTTCTGAAACACTTTTGTTCCAGTCAATACGGTACCTTAAAGACAAACACCATAGTGACCCACTGACAGCAAACCTCCAGAGACCGAGCAAAGCAGAGGGAAAGGCCTGAGCTCCCAGAACAGGAAACAGAGCTGGGGAAACAAAGGGAACCCTGGCTGGCAGGGGCAGAACAAAGCCGATTGGGAAACCACTTTCTGAGGCAGTGAATCTTTCTCAGAGGACACTGTCCATCATTCTCCCCAATAGGGCAGCTGGTGGACATGAACCAGATAGGACATGTACCACATCACCAGGACTCCTTAAAAGAGGGTCAACGTTGGGCAACGCTGCCAAATTAGCACCAACTCACGGCTGACTCGCCCCTGGGTTTCCAAGGCTGTAAATCGCAGGGAAGCCGACTGCTTCTTTCATGGAGCAACTGGTGTGTTCAGACCCCCAGAGATGCCCAGTGATTGGATGAGCAGTGCCAGTCCTGTGACCTACACCCTCAGTGCAGGGGTGGTTATATTACTGTGTGACAAGGAGACTGAAGCCAAAACTCAGTATGAAACAGAGGGCCCTCACTGAAGATTACATTTAAAATCCACTGCCAGCTCTATAAAATTTCTTCGAAAACAAGAGAAAGAAAAGGAAGCCTCTAGCAGAATTACAGAGAGAAGTAGCAGATTTTCAATAACATACAGAGATTGTAAAATGTCATTATCAATGACAGAAGTAAGAACTAGAAAGGAAATGAAGAGGATACAAAAGTCCTAAGCAACATTGTCAAACACGGACATGTGTGGAGAACATACCACTTACCAAGACAGGACACTGCTTGACAACAGATGAGTGTGTATTCTTCTCTGACATTCTTATACAACATTCTTCAGAATGGATCATGTGTTAGGCCAGAAGTAAAACTAGATAAATCTTTAACTTTTTAAATTATTATTATTAGTATTTGTGTGTGTGTTTATTGTCAAATCAGATCTGACTTGTATAGGAGGAGATTGTCCCTCCTTCTCCAACAGAGCATCTGGTGGATTCGAACCCCACACCTCTGGGATTTCGTGCAGCTTCTTGCCACTAAGCCACCAGAGCGTGCCCATTTTTATATCTAGATAAATCTTAAGAGACTGAAATTATGGAAAGTTTATTTTCCGACAATAAGAGCATGAAACCAGAAATCAACATGAAGAACCAGGAAAAGAAACTAAATACATGAAAACTAACACATTACTAAAAGAAGAAACAAACCCCAATGGAAAAGAGAAGAAACTAAGAGTGAAATCAAGACACTTGCCATTAAACAAGAATGAAAACATGCTGTTGGGACAGGGAGAAAGCAGTCTACAGACGGAAATGCAGAGTAACAAATGCAAACATTCAACAAAGCAGGCAAGTCTGAAAGAAAGAACTTGACTCACCAACCTGAACAAACAGAAAGAAGTAAACAGAAGACCCAGGCTGCTAGAAGAAAAGAACTAAAAGAGAACAGGGCAGAGAAAAACAGTAGAACAAACAAGACTGGAAATCATTCCTTTGAAATAGTCATTAAAATTGACAAATCACCAAAACACCAAAGGAAAAATAAGAGAGTATGCAGACAGAAAAAAATAGAGAAAAATTTGAACACTGTACAACTGTGGTAAAGAGAATCATAACGAAATACTACGAAAAACCATTTTCCAACAAATTTTCAACACTAGAAGAAATGGAGATGCCAGTGCCTCCATTCTCCTTGTATCAAGCAAGCAGCACTCAGAAACCGCATCATGTAAAACGTGGAACAAACCTGTTACCAACTGCTTATTTAAAGTGATAAAGAACAAGAATGTAACCTGACTATGCAGCTGCCACTGGTCTTCAATTGTGTCATTTGTCTGTGAAAGTTCCACAATGAATAAGGACAGAAGAAGAATCAATGACTTGAAACTGTGATGTCAGCAAAAAAATATGGAATACACCCATGGACAGCCCAAACCCTAAATCTAATCCTAGAAGTGCAGCTAGAATGCTTTTTAGAAGCAGTTCACACACTTCGGGTTGAACCAATGCATAGACAACCTATCAGGGTTTTTCAGAGGTAGTTTAATAGCAAGGGTGGAGGTCCTGCCATAGTTCCTTGCCACTAGGTAACCAGAGCTCCCTGAAAATATCGAACATCCAAAGATATCCTAAAATAACCAAAGAATATTGACGGTACCACAGACAAACAGAAACCCCACCCAAATCTGTTTTGGAAGAAGGGCAGCAACAATGCTCTTTAGAAACATCCCACACCCTTTGCACGTGTAGTCAGGAGCAATCGGGCCTGGGGAGAAAGCATCATGGCTGGAAAAATAGAGGATCAGAGAAGGAAAGGAAGACTCTCAGTGGAATCCATTGATGTCATGGCTGCAACGAGGGAATTAAGCTCAGCAGAGACTGGAAAGACGCTGCAGGATTGGGCAAGGCTTTGTTCCCTTTTACAGAGTCTCTATGTGTGGTAACAGAAGCAGTGGGACCAAAGAACAGCAGAAGAAATAGACACATTTCTAGAAACACATTGCTTCTCTAAAGTAACACAAAGGTGGAAAACGAAAGCAGATCAGAACAAAAGAAAGAAATTGAAGATACACTTGAAAACCTTTCTGGTATCCCTAACACCATTAGAAAGAACCAACAAAGTGGCAAAGTAAAGGAATAACACGCAAAAGTCACTTGAGTTGCTTTACCCTAACAAGAATTCAAAAATTAAACCAAG